TGGTTCCCTTAAAAAAAAAAAAGCCTGAATTTTGGCTCCTTTTCGGTTTTGCTTTGAACGCCTTGCTGTTTTTCACCTCCCTGCCTCCTTCCTTATTTCTTGTGCTTGGCGCCACTTTGCAGCCAAAAAAAGGACTTTGGGAAAGTTTGGCCTTGGTGGTCCAGCCCTGCCAATTGCATGTAGGATGGGTGGAGACCCTCCCCACACCCCCAAAATAACTTGCTGAAATTAGGGCAGTCACTGCCACAAGATGTGGCTATATATATATCCACTATAACAACAGCAATAATAATAATAATAATAATAATAATATTATTATTATTATTAATTTTTTACATTTATATGCTGCCCAACTGCCAGCGACTCAGAGGCGGTAAAATTCTGAATTTATACATCAGACCTTTTGGGACCACCCAGGTGCCTCTGCTAAGTTTTCCTTACACCAATAAAGGAAAAAAAAGTTTAGAAGTCTCTTCCCGGCTGTTTTTTCAGCTTCCCAGTCTAGCCTACAATCCTGGGATATCTTGGTCGTCTCTCACAGAAGCACCAACCAGGTCTGATTTGGCTTAGCTTTTTCGAGGCTGTACAAGGCAGCTAATGGTGCTGCCTGGCTCCGTGAATTGGTTTCGATGCTGCCTGTTCTGACTTAAATTGGGCTGGAGATGGAGAATAGCATCTGAAAGAGCTATCGGAACCATTTCCTACAAATAAAAATAACATCATAAAATAGCTTAAGACGCAGTGAGCTGAGGGAGAACCTCAGACTCGGATGCAGAGTTTTTTAACTTTCTGGGAAGAGGGGAAGTTTGTGCGAGGTTGGAATAACTTTCTTTCGCTCAATGGAAGACTTTCCTTGTGGCTTAGAGAAAGGCCTTACCCAAAACGGCAATTGAACACTGTTGCTTTGATGCTTCAGAGCCCAGCCTGGATGATCACCTGCGCGGGAAGAAACACCAGCGCCTGGAAAACCTTCGTAGTGTCCGTCAGTCTCAGGAGCTCCGCAGTGTTTTTGTCAGCGGCTTCCACAAAGGGACAACAGCTTTGGAGCTGAGTGACTATTTCCAGACCTATGGGAAGGTGGTCAACGTGGTGATGGATAAAGATAAGGTGAACCTGTTACCTGTTTGACTGCATAGAATAAAGTAGAACTCAGTTGCAACAGTGCCGGAGTAAATCTTTATAGAATGATGCCTCTATTTATCAAAAATAAAAAGTCCTGCATTAAGTTTCATGTTCCTTCTTAAAAATGATAGAAGACAATAGATATGAAAAACTAGGCAATTTTACAGAAAGCAATACCATTTAACTATGGTGGTTTTTAATTTTTTGGAGCTTCCATAGGTCTTAATTCTATTTTTTAAAAGATATTCCTAACATTCAAGGAAGCTTAGACTACAGTCGTCTCATTTATCAACTGCTTCGTTTAGCAACTGTTCGCAGTTACGACTTTGATGAAAAGGTAACTTTGTGACCAGTCCTCACTTTGCTTTACAGACCTACGAAGATCATCAAAGGAAAGCTGAAGTAAGATCATAAGCACAGTTGTGGCTTCACTTAGTGACTGCTTCACTTAATGACTGAGTTGCTGGTCCCAATTGTTAAAGCAAGGACTACCTGTACAATCCTATTCTAGTTTACAAGGAAAAGTGAACTCAGCGGAACTTCTGAATAGATATTTTTGGAATTTCACTGGGATGTTTATTAATTTCATTTACTTTGTTATAGATAGGAAAAACTCCTGATTTATGTGAAGCTTATTTCCAATAAAGTATAGCAAACCTCTCACTAAGCATCCACAGGATTTGCTGCACATTTAAAAGTAATTTCACTGCCAGAATAACCCTACTAGTATGTTGTGATGTTTGCATAGGATGTTTGGAATGCTGGTGGATTCAAATAAAACACCATCTTGCTTTTAAGATGTTAACCTGCTGAGGTTGAACAAGTATTGAGGATTTATACAAATTTGATAAATAAAATAAATAAATTTGGCACAATTTACAAGCTTAATGCTCCTTTCCTCTTTCGGCAGGGGGTCTATGCAATTGTGGAACTGCAGGATGAGGAGATACTCCAGAAAGTATTGTCACAGCCGCAACATAGTTTGGGGGGCCAGAGATTACGTGTCAAGCCTCGAGAGAAGAAAGATTTCAAATACACCCCCCCAAGGAAACAAGGGTCAGCCAGGCGGGAGCAGCTGAGCCCCGAGAAGCTGGCACAGAATCTGTGCCAAGTGGAGGATGTGAGTTTCTCTGGAGGGTTTGGTCTTGGAAGAGGTTGGTAGGGAACGTACTGAAGAATCCCTCTCAGTGTGGTGGGTTAAGAGGAGAAACGTCATCTGAACCATGTTCCTGGTCCACTTCTTTCTGCAGGTAGATGCCCAAATGTCTTTGGTTGTGCAACTCTTTGAATTTTCCGAGAGTGAACAACGTCTTCGAGACTTGCTGGTCAAGCTCTTCCAGGAGGTGTTCTCTGAGTTCTTCCCAGGTAAAAATGCAATTTTTACCATCTGCTTCGATCAGATACTCTTAATGTTTCTTATTTTATGATGGGTCCCTCTCTCAAACACGCAGAATCAGCCATCCTTCCCTTCGGTTCTTCCGTGAACGGCTTCTGTGTCTCTGGATGTGACCTGGATTTGTTCTTGGATCTAGAGAAGACAAAAAGCTTCCAGGCTTCTGCCAAGGGAGCTGATAAGCCACAGGTGAGGATGTGGCTGGGCTGTACCTTGGTCAAATATAGATGTTTGCTTGTCCTCCGTGTCTCCCGTTAGGGCTGGGAAAGAGTCCTTAAACCCGGGAGGACCACTGCCAATCACTCAATGTGGAAATGAGTAGGTTGTGCCCCTGGTTCACCTCTGCCTGAGATGGCTTGATCCAATCCCAGTTCGTTTTCTTTTTCAGGCAGAGGAAGAAGCTTCTCCTGAAACGGAATCTCGGTCGGAAGATTCAATTTTGACTGATATTGATCTGGTCACAGCCACAGTTCCTGAAGTCCTGGAGCTGGTGGCCACCGTGCTACAGAAGTGTGTGCCAGGAGTCCATAACGTCCAGGTGGTGTCCACCGCCCGCCGCCCAGTTGTCAAGTTTTGCCACAAGGAGTCCGGCTTGCGGGGTGACATCTCCATAAACAACAAGTATGGATTTAGGGTCTAATAGTGTTTAATAAGAACCCAGCCTGTCCAGCAGATGATTGAACCAAAAGTTTCGGGGCATAATTGCGGAGTGCCAGTTTGATCTTGTGATCAAGACTGAGCTGGACTAGAAGCGTGGAAACTTGAGTTTAGGATTTCAGGGGGAAGTTGAGAAAGTTGCAGGAACCTTGGCTGTACCAGAAGCGGCTGTAGCTTTGTGTAGAATATCCCAATTTATGCTCCAGTTTCTTCTCCTTGGCAGGTTGGCTCTGTGCAACACGCGTTTCCTGCAGTTTTGCACAGAAGCGGATGAACGAGTGCGGCCTTTGGTCTACGCTGTGCGCTACTGGGCGAAGCAGCAAGCTTTGGCAGGTAAAATGGAAAAACAGGTGGGCTTGATGGAAGGTGGGTGTGGCAGCAGAAAGAATCAAAGCACCCTCCTTTGGGGGCGCAATGGTAGCGGGGTGGTGGCAGATGCAGGAGCATAAATGAGCTGATGTAAAAACCGTAGACAGTGTAGGGAGACGTAGCATCCATTCTAAAGCGAGAGCGGGTTGAACTGAATCCTAATGACCCCCAAGAATCTTGAGTAGAGAGGATTCCTTCCTATTATCTCCTGTGTGGTTCTTTTGAACCCAAGATGCCAGAATTCAAGCAGGGACCTTCTGTGTGAAAGGGACACGCTGCTGGATGGATTTTGGAAAGTTACAATGGGATGTAACCCTCCTCCCACAAATATATTCCTCTGAGCTAGGAGGAATCAGAAGCAAGTTCTCAGTTGTGGAAGGGGGGTAGTTGGGCCTTTCTTTTCCTCTTAATACCCCCCCCCTTTCCTTTTATTGCAGGGAATCCTTTCGGTGGGGGCCCTCTTCTCAATAACTATGCTCTGACCTTGCTGGTGCTCTTCTTCCTACAGACCCGCAGCCTCCCCGTCTTACCGACAGTTGCGCACCTAAAGGATCTTTCAGGTTAATATCTCCACGCACAGATCTCTTGCCTTGAGATTGAGAACTCATTGGCTTCTACTGAGTTGTCACACTTTCTGGATTTCTTTTCATGTTAATGATGTCATAGGCACCATCCCATTACCAAAAATTGTACCAGAATGGCGTGGAAATAAGACAAAAACAAAGCAAAACCAGAATCAGATTGAAGATTCTGATTTGGGTCTTTGCAGACTGATTTTTCACCCATTCCAACCTCTTTTCCTTTCTTCCCAGATGATGGGGAACTGACCTTGGTGGATGGTTGGGACTGCACTTTCCCTAAAGATCCAGCCTTGCTGAAGCCTAGTGGGAACCCAGAGAGTCGCTGTGAGTTGCTACAAAGAGCTTTCAAGTTGCAGCTATTTTTTTAATGCAGATAGTCCTCGTCCTACAACCATTTGTTCAGTGATCGTTCGAAGTTACGACGGTGGTGAACGAATGGTGGTCATGACCAGTCCTTGGAGTTCCAGCAGTCCCGGCACCCCCGTGGACATGTGATCGCAATCTGGGCGCTTGTCAACCGGCTCACGCTTATAAATGGTTGCAGTGCCCCGCGATCATGTGATCGCCATTTGTAGCCTTCCCTGCGGGTTTTCCCAGAAAATCAATGGGGAAGCTGGCAGGGAAGGTTGCAAGTTGCTGGGGTAAGTCTCCCCCACCTGTGCACCCTCACCCAGACCCTCTGTGCTTGCGCCAGCCACTTGTGCACCCTTGCCGTACATTCCACACCATCTTGCTTGCATCCTCTTGGTCCTCTGTAAGCTGTTTCACACACCCCAAGCCATAAGGGGCTGAACAAGCCGTAACTAAATTGCCGTGTTCACTCAGAAGGCTCAGCCATCAGTGCTGAATGACAAAGCACAATGCTGTACAAACTCCAAATGAGAGCTTAGGCCAAACCCAGTTACTAATACTAGCTTTGTCGCCTTCATTCCAGGCTCCCTTCTGGCAGAGTTCTTTCACGTCTTCGAAAGTTGCAGTTTTTCAGGCTGCGTGATCTCCCTGCGGGAGGGCCAGTCTTTGCCTCTCTCCGATTTCCTGTTATCCGAAGCAGGTAGGAAATTCAAGGTGGGCCCCATCAACCTCCAGGACCCTTTCGAGCTGAGCCACAACGTAGCCGCGAACGTCAATGAGAAGACAGCTCTGCGTTTCCAGCGCTGTTGCCACGACGCTGCGAAATACTGTCGGAGCTTGCAATACCAGCGTAAATCCAGCAAGGGCAAGATCTGGGGGCTGGTCCGCCTGTTCCAGCCAGGCGGCCCCCAAGCTGCCGAACGGCTTGTCATCAGCCTCCCCTTGACGCCGGCGGCACAGTCTCTCTGGTCCCACAAGGAGCTGTACCAGAGTAGGGATTTCCACCAGCTCTGGTTTCGGAGAGTGTGCGCGGGTATCTCGTTTGTCCTGGAGCACGTATTGAAATGTAGCTGCTTAGAGAAACCGCAGGGGCTTGGGGAAGAAAGGGAAGCCGCTGGAAGTGATCCAGAGGAGGAACAACTGAAAACAAAAACTGAGCAACTGTCAGTAGGTTCCAAACGTCCGCTAGACGTGGACGATGAAGGTGCGTGTTCGCCACCTCCTAAGAAATCACGACCTGATAGTTCCCTTCCCACCACGGAAAGCGTGACCTGGAACTGCGCCGTCTGGCACCATGTCTGGTTAGGAAGGCGCCGTATCCGGCGACAGTTTTGTAGCCCGGAACCGGATCCCAAACAAACAGCAGATCCCCTGGAGCTGGAGGCAAAAGTATCGGAGGCCATTTCTCAACAGGATGGGGAAACGAGGTCTGTAGACCCTCTGTTTCGATTTGCGGTTTGTGCCAGAAGCGGGGACGGCGGTTCTGCGGATCAAGATACACATATTAGCCTGAGCTTCACCCCAGGTCCTGAGCAGGTCGCTGTTTTCCAAGATTTTTTTCATTTCCTGCAAGGTTTTCTGCCCCGAATGGTAGAGCAGCACCTGACAAGCAAGCCCTCAGACTTACGTACACCAGAAGGCAACTCTTCTCAAGGGGATAGTATTTGACCTCCATTACACCATGATAGACTTCTATATTGATATCACGTTTTCCATTCTTGCTACTGGTGAGAATAAAAGGAATGGAGAGAAAAATTGTAACCTGTTTCCTTTGCATCTTCAGTTATTGAAGTTAATCCGATCGCTAAACCTCCTGGCAGAAGTTACAAATCAACTCCAGTGCCAATAAACTAAGGAGTAAGGTGGTTTCTGTAATCACTGGCTAAAACATCATTGTGGTACCAATTTGCTTCTCCCTTAAAAAAACTTAATCTGACAGTGAATTTTACGGAGGAAGTCGGTGTTTTCTTTCTGTGTCCAACATCATCTGTGATGTTGGTGGTTCAATTCTGTCCCATCTTCAGCTCCAGATGTTGCACACATCTTGTCGCGTCTCCTTTCTCCAAAATCCATGTCAATGCAAGGCAGCTTACATGGTGACTAATAGATTTTCCCAAATTCCACACGCCGTAAGGATTGAATGGCGCATTTTGATTCAACCAGATTCCCTTTATAGTACACGCCAGTCTAGATTAAAGGGGTAAACGGAGCATTTCTCCCCAGCTACTACTAATGGCTATAAATGAAGATACCTTGACTTAATCTTCTTGTTCACTAAAAATAACTCTTTAAACATCATCACGGTAGTCACGCTGTTAAAGCAGCGGGAAAAAAACTAAAGCAGTTCTGCTCTTTGTTTTCAAGGGTTATATTCACCCATGATGCAAAACCAGGATTGTTGGTCACAGTTTGTTCAGGGAGCCCTATCGTTGGCTTTCAGATTACCCAAACTAATGTCTGATGACCAAACCTCAACTACACAGAGTGGTGTTATGCGTGAACTAGACTCGTATCCAGTTATGGAGAGCGTAGGTAACTCGGGGTCAAATGTTTGGTGGCTTTCCTGCAAATGTTTTATTACCAGCCTCGTTAGCCTCATCGGTGCGGGGTTGTTTTTGTGGAGGGAAGGGAAAAAATCACTAAAAGGTAGCAGTATGTATGCAAACGCTCGGTTAACCCCACAGTGAGGTGGGCGGTGACAAATTTGAAATATAAATAAATAAAAATTAAATTAAATTTTGCTTTTCTGGTTGGTGGAAGTAGGGATCATTTTCTTTCCATCTCACTTACTGGGGCTGAGCATTCTCCCATGGAGGACAGTTGCCAGCTCTCCTATTCCAGTGTTTTGAACCTTGGCCACTTGAAGATGTGTGGACTTCAACTCCCAGACTTCCCCCCCCCGCCGTTTCTTGCTGGGGGAGTTTTTGGGGTGTAATCCACACACCTTCACATTGCCCAGGGTCTGAGAAAAACTTTTATTTTTACTTTAGCTC